AGAAATATGTCACTTCCATGACAACTTAAGAAATTCATGAAGGTGTGGGAGAGTTTCCAGATACCATGCGCCCCTGGGAGTGGGAACTGTCCAGTCCAATCCCAGGCGGAAGAAGCTTTAGTGAGACCCTCTTCAGCGCCCTTGGGACCCTCCCCACTACTGCGCAGGTCCCCACCCCCATGCCCACCTAGTGAGGGAGAACTTTTGTCACATTCTCCAGACCCCAAGATCCAGCCCTAGCCCAGGCCCAGTGAGTGTGTGGGAGAGCATCCCCTCTCTCCTTCTCCCCCATGTCCCCTTCAGACTCATCTCAGGCCTGGCATACATGCCTGGGGTAAAACTCTGCAGCTGCAGTCCCTGAAGAGAGAGTAGGAGAGATAACCACCCAGCTAGTCCAGGACCAGAACATCTTGCCAGAGGGGAACAACAGGTTCACTCACAAGGGCTGCCGAAGGAAGGAGCTGAGTACAGCAGCCAGACCCAAGGCAGGCACAAATGGTTAAATTCAAACTTTGTAGATCTGCACCTGAATTTCAGTAGGTACTAAGGTTATAACAGTACAAAAGCTCTACAACAAAGATCAGAAGACAGTGCTATACAAAATGACAATGAGAAGGAGGAAAATGCAGTCTCAGACCCCAAGGCTACCCACAACAAGTGCAGAGGACACTAGTACAGAACAAATTGGGAATCACACAGCTGAAATCAATGAATCAACAGTTTCTGAAATAAAGGAACATCTGCAAAAAGGTATAGAGGAACTCATATCAGAAATAAAAAAAGAAATTCCTGAATTAATAGCATCTGCAGTAAAGAATAAAATGCAGAAACATATGGAGGAAACCCAGTGCCCACACAGAACAAGTGCAGAGGACACTAGCTCAGCTAAAATGTATGATTTAATAGCATCACAAGTAAAAAAGCAACAGCAGAAAGTATAGAGGAACTCAGAGTGGAATTAATTTCTGAAATAAAAAAGCTCTGAACTCATAGCATCTGAAATAAACAATCAAATACAGAAACATGGAGAAAACCCAATCCAAAAAAAAGTGCAGTAAAAGAGTAACTGCTTCTAAAGAAGATATTGATTAAAAGACATAGAGGTTAGAAAACTGATGTATTCTTTGAATGAGCAGCACAGGAAAGAAATAAATCACATGAAGCAGAGTCAAAGAGATATAGAGGAAATTAAAATGTCAATTACAAGCCTGCAAAACCGTTTGAGTGAAAGTGAGGACAAGAAAGTCAGATCTTGAAGACGTTGGTGCAGCTAGTGAAAAGGTAAGAAAAGATCTCTTAAAACAACTAGGATGCAGGAAAAAATAATTCATCACTTGCAAGACAATGCAAAGATGAACAATGTGAAACTAATAGGTATCAATGAGAAAGAAGGAGTCAATACAAATTAGATTAAAAAAATATGGGCAGAAGCAATAGTGGAAAAGTATCAAAATATGAGAAGCCAATCTGACATCCAGGTACCGAAGCATACATAACGCCAAGTAACCTCTATCCAATTAAAAATACACCAGCACATATAATCATCGAGATCTCACAAATCCAGCACAAGAATAGTATACTGAAAGCTGCTAGAGAAAAAAAGAAGATCACATTCAAAGGAAAAACCATCAAAATTACGGCCAACTTCTCTTCACAAACCATGAAGGTAAGAAGAGCATGGAACAGAGAACGTCAAGTCCTCTATGAAAACAAATTCCATCCCAGACTACTATACCCTGCAAAACTCTCTTTCAAGTTTGATGGAGAAATGAAGTACTTTCATGACAAAGAACAACTGAAGAATTTCATGATGACAAAGCCAACCCTAAACAGGCTCCTGAAAGATGTTCCAGAGAGGCACCAAAATAAACTGAACTCTGTGAATGAGAACAGAAGCAACCAACTAAATAGGGTAAACAATTAAATACAGGAGAAAAAGGCGTAAACAACAGCAGGTAAGTAACGTCAATTGTAAGTCAATACATCTCAATGATAACTATCAATGTAAATTGACTCAATTCACCAATTAAGAGAAATAGGCTGGCACAATGGGTTAGGGAACAAAATCCAACAATCTACTCTATACAAGAAACATATTCAACTCAAAGAAATTCACAGGCTGAAAGTCAATTTTTTGAAAACAATACTACATGCTCCAGGACCTCAGAAAAAACAGGGGTAGCAATCTTATTCTCAAACAGTCTCAACCTCAAACCAAGAATGATCAAGCGAAATAAAGAAGGTCCCAATATACTAGTTAGGGGAAAGATTCAACAGGAAGAGGTAAAAGTCATAAATATGTATGCACCGAACATTGGAGCACCCAATTATATAAAACAAATCTTAATGGACATGAAAAATATAATGTTCAATGCCACAAACTTAACAGAAGAACTTAGCACCCCCTTATCCCAAAAAGATAGGTCAAACACACAAAAAATTAGCGAAGTAACAGAATTAAATCAGAGCTTGAAAGAAATGGGTTTATTGGACATACACAGAGTGTTCCACAGGAACAGAGCTGAATGCACATTTTTCTCAGCTGCACATGGGTCATTTTCTAAAATAGACCACATATTGGTCCATAGGTCATGCTTAAGTATATGCAAGACAACAGAAATTATCCCATGCATATTATCTGACCACAATGCAATGAAACTAGAAATAAATGACAAAAGAAACCAGAAAAAAAACCCTAAATACATGGAAATTAAAAGACACCGTATTTAACAACCAATGGGTCACAGATGAAATTAAACAAGAAATTCAACAATATCTACAATTCAATGAAAACTCAAGTACAACTTATCGGAATTTTTGAGATATGATGAAAACAGTTCTCAGAGGGAAATTCATAGCTGTGAACTCACACATTAGTAAAAAAGAACCGGAATAAATAAACACCCTAATGATGCACCTCCAACAACTAGGAAAGGAAAAGTAAACTGTACTCGGAGCCCAAAGACAGGAAGAAATGATAAAGATTAGAGCAGAAATTAATTCAATTGAGATGAAGAAAACAGTTCAAAGAATTAATGAAACAAAATCTGGTTATTTGAAAGATTAATTAAAATTGATAAGCACCCATCTGACCTCATCAAAAAGAGGAAAGAAAAATTCAACTACAAGCAATAGGGAATGAAAAGGGTTTAATTACCACAGACCCAGTGCAAGTTCAGAAGCCTATCAATAGCGACTTTGAGAACCTTTACTCTCACAGAATAGAAGACATAGACAAAATCGGCAGATTTCTAGAAAGGTACATATTAACAAAACTGAATGGACAAGATATAACCACTCTCAATAGCCCAGTAACAGCAAATGAAATACAAGATGTAATAAAAAACCTACCGGCAAAGAAAAGTCTAGGTCCCGATGGATTCACAGTTGAATTCTACAAAACATTTACAGAAGATATGGTCCCTATACTCCTCAAACTCTTTCATGAAATGGAAAAGGAAGCCATCCTTCCAAAATCATTCCTGGAGGCAAGTACTATACTGATACCAAAACCAGGAAAAGACTCAAATAAGAAAGAGCACTACAGACCAATCTCCCTCAGGAACATAGATGTAAAATTCCTCAATAAAATCCTAGCAAATACAATACAGCAAATCATCAAGAAGATCATACACCATGACCAGGTAGGATTCATCCCAGGGATGTAAGGATGGTTCAATATTCAAAAATCTACAAATGTAATACGCTATATCATTAGAGTGAAGACTAAAAACCACATTATTACCTCAATTGATGCAGAAAAGTCTTTTGACAAAGTCCAACACTCATTCATATTCAAAGTCCTACAGAAAATTGGAATAGAAGGCCTTTACTTCAATCTGATAAAAACCGTTTATGAAAATCCAATGGCTAACATAATTCTAAATGGGGAAAAACTGAAATCTTTTACTCTTAGATCTGGTACAAGATAAGGATATCTCTATCACTATTCCTATTCAATATAGTTTTGGAATCATTAGCTAGAGTCATTAGAGAAGAAAAATAAATAAAAGGAATATGAATGAGTAAAGAAGAAGTTAAAGTATCATTATCTGCAGATGATATGATACTTTACTTGAAAAACCAAAAAATCTCTGCCAAGAAGCTATTATAATTAATACAGAAGTTCAGTAGCATAGCAGGATATAAAGTCAATACCCAAAAGTCAATAACATTTCTCTACACAGATAACGAACACAATGAGAGGGAATTACAGAAATAATAGCAATGAGGAAAGTGAAATACCTTGGAATTAATCTAACTAAAGAAGTCAAAGCTTTTTTCAAGGAAAATTACAGTACTTTTAAAAAAGAGATCATAGAGGATTTCAGAAAATCTAAAGATATTCCATGCCCTGGATAGGAAGAACTAACTTTGTGAAGATGGACATACTCCCAAAATTGTTGTACAGATTTAATGCAATCCATATCAAACTACTACCAATATACCTCACAGCCCTATAGAAATCATTCCAAAAATTTATTTGGAACCAGAAAAGACCTAGAATAGCATAGGCAATCCTGGAAAAAAATGACAATGCAGGAGGCATTAGAGTTCCTGACTTGAAATTATACTACAAGGCTACTGTGATAAAATAAGCATGATACTTCTAACAAAATAGACCTGAGGATCAATGGAATAGATTACAAGACACTGAAGCCTCTATGAACACACTAAGACACCTAATCTTTGTCAAAGGAGCCAAACATACTCACTGGAAAAAAGAGAGCCTCTTTCACAAATAGTGCTGGAAAAATTGCCACTCTATATGCCTAAAACTAAAACTTGACCTAGGTCTATCACCGTGCACTAAGCTAATGTCAAAATTGATCAAAGATCTATACAATAGAACAGAAACACTAAATCTCTGGAAGCGAAAGTAGTAGGAACTCTTGAAGACATAGGGGTCGGCAAAGAGTTCATGAACAAAAATCAAATTACAAGGGAAACACTTTGACCCCCGGCCGGCAACCCCGCCTCGGCCACCATCCTGCTCACCGACCCCGGCCAGATAGAGCCATAACTTTTGAACTATATTTGGGAAAGCACTGGCCAGGAAAAAAAATGATAAAATTCTTCCTTATGGTGAATAAACAAGGACAGACCTGACTTTCCAAGTACTATGAACATGTGGACATGAACAAGCGTACACTGCTGGAAACAGAGGTCATAAAGACCTGCCTGTCTCGATCCAGTGGACAATGTTCTTTCATTGAATATAAGGATTTCAAGCTGGTCTATCGGCAGTACACGACTCTCTTTATTGTGGTTGGAGTTAATCACACGGAGAATGAGATGGCCATTTATGAATTCATCAGTAATTTTGTGGAAGTTTTAGATGCCTACTTCAGCCAAGTGAGTGAACTAGATATAATGTTTAATCTCGATAAAGTACACATCATTTTGGATGAGATGGTATTAAATGGCTGCATAGTGGAAACTAACAGGGCAAGAATTCTCACCCCTCTACTGATTCTTGATAAAATGTCAGAAAGCTGAGTGGAAGACTCTACCAGACAACATGGATTTACAGGAAATGTGAACATCATGGAATACTACTCATCAGCTGCAGCCAAAAGGAATCTGGAAGACCGATTTAAGAAAAAAAATTAAGAGGCTGGAGATATAGCTTAGCTGCATACACACCTGCCTGGCAATTGCAAGGTCCCGAGTTTGATCCCTGGTACCTTAAAAAAAAAAAGAACCTTGAAATACTGCACATTGCAAAATGGGGTATCCTTCCAAACATAATAAATGGCTGTTTTTCCCAGTTACTAAGTGGAGAACAAAACTGTATTTTATAAATTTGTATAATTTTTTTTTTGAGACAGGTTCTTGCTATGCAGTTCAGGTTGGCCTTACACTTACTATGTGGCCTCAAACTCATAGTCTTCCAAGTGTGGGATTACAGTCATGCACCCACACCATGCCCAGCTTGAAATTTACTTTTTCTCTTTAAACTCATTAAATTTCTATGTTAATCATATGTTAAATACCAATTTTTGAATTAGGTTAAAATATTTAATTAGATTAATCTCATTTGTTTCTACTTTTTTCTTTCAGCTGGGAATGGAAAATAGTCTATCTAGCACACAGTAGGCAGGTACTCTATCACTGAGCTACACATTCCCAGCCCTAATAAAGTTGAAACTCATGAAAAAAACCAAGGGAAACACTTGAAAGAATTAACAACTGGTACCTCCTCTAATTGAGAAGTTTCTATGCTTCAAAGGAAATTACCAACAAAGTCAAAAGGCAACCCACAAATGTTGAAAAAATCATGACAAATAATTACTCAGACAAAGGTCTGTTCTCTAGAATTTATCAAGAACTAAAAACTGCTATGGCTTATAAATTTAAAGACCCAGGCATGAAATGTGCATCTGAGATGAATACACTCTTCTCAGAGGATGAAATTAAAGAAGTGAAAAAATTAATGGAAAAATGCTCCACATCACTAGCCATCTGTGAAATGCAAATTAAATTAACACTGAGATAACATCTACCCCAGAAAGAATGGCTTTCATGAAGAAGTCAACCAACAACAAATTTTGGAGAGGCTTTGGAGAAAAAGAAACCCTTCTCCATTGATTTTCTGAATGTGGACTGGTGCAATCATCATGGAAATCAGTGTGGAGACTTCTTAAAAAACTAGGACTGGAAATCTCTTTCAAATCAGCTATTCCCCTACTGGGAATTTTCCTGAAGGATCTGAAAACATATCATAGTGATGTATGTGTACCTATGTTTATACCAGCACAATTTGTGATAGTCAAATCTTGGAAACAAACAAGATGCCCATCACCTGATGAAGGATGAAAAAGATGTGGTATTTTTATACAATGGAGTATTACTCAGCTATAAAGAATGATAAACTGGAAGCCTTTATATTTAAGTGGATGCCACTTGAAGAAATACTCCTAAGTAAAATAAACCAGACACACATGTGTAAATATCATATAGTTTCCCTAGTATAAGACTTCAAAAGAAGAAATACAAACAGAAAGGTATAATACAACTAAAAGGAAAACAAGAGCTGGAAGACTAGACAATGAAGAAAGAGCAAGGAGAAAAGCTTGGAAACACGACAGTGACAAGCCATACAGTTATATGTAAAACATGGGTAAGGCAATAATCCTGAGAATCTTCAGATGATTTTTGAATCCAGCAGTTAACTGGATGGATTCTCACCCTGACTAACCATATATACTGACACATGTGAACTAAGCAACTGAACTGAAAATGGCAATTTTTAATAGTAGGTTCATGCTTGGAATGCCTGTCATTCTGGTCTTCTGAATACGTGCTACTTGTCATGACATGGCAGTTGCTGCTGTGCTGTCTCTCGTGTTGTTGATTATTTAAAAAGAAAGGGGGTGGTGAATGAAGGCAGGAGGCAGGAATACGAGACTGTCGTGCTTCAAGGTTGTACATGGTTAGATTTCTAGACTTATGTGTAAACATATATAATTGTTTATTCCTATTTTTTAAATATATTTCAATTTTTTTAATTTTTTATCATATTCTTTGCGGACTTAAAGTTCAACTTATCAATACTTGATAAAAAATACCTGTTGCATGTTATACTTAAGATGTTTGATATGCAGACAGACAGCGAAGTTAAGCTTAACAGCCTAAGTTGTATGGTAATAACAATAAGCTTGTCTTCTGGATGGTTAACAACCTAAGTTTGCAGACCAAAATTACAGAAAAAGGAGGGCTGTAAGGAAAGTCAACAGTTTGGCTCTAGCCTTCCAAAGTCAATTAATACTGAGGACATATGAGAACTTGTACTGTAACGTAATGTAACTCAGTAGTGTCCCAAATTTTCTGATCAATGAGATTATGGGGCCAAAGAGGAAAGTGATCGATGATGTAGAGTATGCCTAAGGAGAGTCATATGGAGAGAAAACATTCTCTCAGGCTTTCACAGAGAGCACATTGGCCAAGCAATGGCCATGACTCATCCACATGGCTGACACTGACAAAGGATCTACAATATGAGGTACAGGATCTCAGGATAAATTCTGAGGGGATTTCACTGACCTTATCAGATCCAAAAGTTACAACTCTTGGTACATAGGTCTCGTTTTATCTTGGTCTTAAATACCCATCAGAAAAGTATAAAAACGAAGTATAAGAAGTAAAGCCATACTGTTATATTGAGCTGTAGGGGACTCAGGTCTACAACTTCTGACATTGCCAGCCAAGAAAAAGACCCAATACTATTATGGACTACTGGACTATTTTGGAATATTTTGCTGAGTTCACACACCTATAACATGTAAATGACAGAACTAATCAAAAAATGGGATACAGATGAATGACCATTTTGTATCTGTGTATTCAAAATGGTTAGGATAGATATATAGCTACATTCTCTTAATTCAATGAATAGAGGGATTTGTTCTAATATTGTTTTTAAATAGGATATTATGTCTGTATCTTGTACAACAAATAACCACTAGGAAGACAGTACGCAATGAGTTAATTACTGATACTGTCCTACCAATTTGATTTGAAACTGTCTCATTGCTATTTGTTTCTCAATAAAATTATAGGAATAAAATAAAAATAAAATCTAAAAAAAAAGAAATTCATGAGGACCAGACCAGCTCTACAATAAATTATGAAAAATATTTTATAAAATAACAATGAAAACTTCAATTTCAAGACCACCATCAATATGGAGCTATTCAGAAAGACAATCAGTTAAACAGAAGGGCAAGACAGAGATCCAATTTGAGCGAAATAATATGACAATGGTAAGTCCACACATATCACTTATAATTGTCAATGTAAATGATCATAATTCACCATTCAAAGGAAGCAGATGGGCAGAATAGATTAAGAAATGATCCAATAATATGCTGCATACAATAAACACATTTAACTAAAAAAGTGATACATAGACCAAATTTCAAAGGATGGATAACTATACTTAATATCACACAAAACCAGAGAAAAACATGAGTAGCTGTTCTATTTGAAGAAAAGTGCACTTCAAGCAAGGTTATCAAAAAAGACAAAGAAGCCTACTGCATAGCTGCTAATGGAAAACTGCAAGAAGAGGTAACTATCATGAATATGCACACACCAAATATCAGTGCACCCAATTATATTAAAGATATTACTGACATAAATAATCACATTGTCATAGAATGCCTTAATACCCCACTGTTAAAAACAGATTAACTGGAGAAGAAAACAAAGAAATATAAAACTGACACAAATCTATAAAAAAATGGACTTAGGAGATGTTTACACAGTATTCCTCCCTATGACATTAGTATACATGTTCTTCTTAGCTGTGCATGGGATGTTCTTTAAAACAGATTACATACTAACCTACAGAACATCTTTAGGTACATGGAAAGGAACTGAGGCTATTCCATGTACATTATCAGACCACTATGTACAAACTACAATACCTATTCATGGTAAAAACACACACACACACACACACACAGAACATGAAAACAGACAGACTTTACCTAAATCTGACAAAAGCCATCTGTGACAAACCAAAAACCAACATCATATGGAATGTCTTAAACTGAAAGCTTACATTCTGAAATCAGGAATAACTCAAGGAAGTCCACTATCACCATGCTTGTTCAATATAATTTGGAAACATTAACCAGAACATTTAGTGAAGAGAAAAATATAGAAAGAATAAGGACAGAAAAGAAAGATGTTAAATTATCAATATTTGTATATGACATGATACTCTACACAGATAGCAAAGTCTTTGCTACACAACCCTCAGATTTAAAAACTGAATTCTGTAGCATACTTCCAAGGTCCAGACTCTGCTTCTAGGGAACAACAACCTCAGGAGAGAGAAAAGTGGGTGGTGAAGAAGAAAGACTTAGAAAAGCATACTGAGGTTAGGAAGGACAAGAGTGTGTCTCTTCAACTCAGAGAAAAATTAGTGGCCTTTACTCAGACATGAGTGATCACATAAGCTTTCTTCATATAAGATTAACAGATGTGGTATTTCATCTATAATAAAAAAACAATTTAAATTTTGATTAATATGAGAACACAGTATAAGCTAAAAGTAGTCATGGAAACTTAATCAATCATTGTTCTTTCTGTTCTATTTTATGTCCTAGTGAGTCCCTCGCTATCGGGGGTACTTTCTCATGGCCTTAAGATCTTGACATCTAAACTTTGTTGTTGCTAAATATCCTGGCTTAGGCTTGTTCCTCTATGTAGGTGTACAAGGCAGGAAGCAAGGAGTCAGACTCTATGAGAACTTTGCCCTTAATGAAGATAGGCCACAACCCCAGGTGATTAACTGTGTGCTCTCTTTTACGTGAATCACAAGCCTAATGATTCCTGGTGGGTGGTGGAGACACATTCACGTGAAGCGCCACTTGCAGATTCTCCAAACTTGATGTCACTCTACCTTCTGGAGTCAAAAACTTCTATTTCCAGAAGTAGAAATAGCAAATGAATACTTGAAGAAAATGTTCAACATCACTGTTCATTCAAGAGGTGCAAATGAAAACACCACTGAGATTCTATTTTATTAAGTTCTTTATACATTGTAGATACTACTCTTTTATCTGATAAAGATATGCTAATTTTTCCCCACTGTGGGTTGTCTGTTGGTGGCTTCTTTTGATGAGAAAACATGTTTTACTATATGAGACCCCAATTGTTGATTTTTTGTGATATTTTCTGTGTGATTAGGTTTCTATTCATAAAGATTTTGCCTACACTTATGTCTTCAAGAGTTCAGCCTACTGTTTCTTGCAACAGATTTAGTCTAGTGTTTCTCTTTCAATACTCAGATCTTTGATCCATTTAATATTATGGTGAGATACATGGGTCTAGGTTTAGGATTTGGCATTTGGAAAGCCAGCTTTACCCCACTATTTATTAAAAAGTGTATTCTTCTTTCGATGATGGTGTTTAAAAATTTTATTAATGACAGGGTGGCTCAGCGTTTTCAGAGTTGTTCCTGCATTCTGTATTCTCATTTTCTGCATTCTGCATTCCATTGATCCTTGTGTCTTTTTTAACACAAGGATCAATGGAATGCAGAAATTAAATATTTTTTTTAATTTTTTTTTTCTGAAAACTGAGCTCTGCAATGTAATTTCAAGTCAGGGATTGTCATACCCTTTTTCTTCCTGTTCTTGCCCGGTATTGCTTTTGCTATTCCAGGTCTCCTCTAGTTTCAAATCAATTCTAGAAAGGTTTTATTTAATTCTGTGAAGAATGCTATTTTTTATCTGAATTGCATTAAATCTGTATAAAAATTTTGAGAGAGTGTACATTTTCACTATACTGGTTCCTCCTCCTAACCCAGAACAAGGGATATCCTATCATTTTCTTTTTCTTTTTTCTTTTTTGTACTTTAGGAAGGGTCTACAGGGTGTTCAGGGTCTCACTACTAGAACAGACTCATAGTGCTCTGCCTGTTTAGAGACTCCCAGGTGCTGGGATTACAGGTGCACACAACCATGCTCAGTGTCAATGGCCATCTGAGCGCCACCCAGTGGCAGGTTGCAGGTGCTTTAATCAGCTGAGCTATTTGGCCGACCCTCCATTTTCTGATACTCTCTTCCATCTTATTTTTCCAAGTATGATAGTTTTGTATTTTTCAATGTAAATGTCTTTTATATCCTTAATTTGGTTAATTTCTAAGTTTTCCATTTTGTGGGTCCTGTTGTGAAAGGTGTTGTTTCCCTAATTTCTCTCTCAGTGATTTTTGTTATTGGTGTACAAGAATGGCATGGATTTTGTGTTCAGGTGTGCTGTGGAGAGCTATCCATTGCTTGGCCACTCCTATTTTCTCATTACCCAGCTCTTTAGCCTGCACATCGCCTCCTTAATCACCTCTGCCTGGCAAAGATTCTCTTCATGCTTCTTAGTTCTTAATCCCAAGATGAACCTGATGAGTGCTGCCTGCTCCTCTCTCTAAAGGTAGCTTGCTGCTCAGTCTACACACCCTATGGCTAGACACTGAGCCTACCTTATCAGGGTAGGCCTTGTAATCCCTGGTTCCCCTCACTGAAAATGATGACCTAATACCCAGGACTCAGCTCACCCCACCCCCAATTTACCCACATTCCAATGTCCAGTGGGTTTCATTACACACACACACACACACACACACACACACACACACACCATGCACACATGCTGTTTACATCACATCTTTATCAGATCACGCTGCACTTCATTTACTCATAACTCTTAGTGTTATCTGACCTATTTTATTTCTAGTTCTTCCCCACTGGTGGAAGATAAACCACATCAAGGAGGACTTTTCTTTTGTTTCACTCTTCTTTTAGGTCTCAGGACAAGGGCTTTAACACCTCCAGGGCATTTAATACAATTCAAAGGAATAGATAGCTGGATAGGGGTGTGTGTGGCTGCCTGGTTTGTGCTCCTCAGAGGATTCTGCTCTTCATAGCTGTGGGTTGAGGGGGTATCCTGATTTGAATATCCAGTTCAAGGGTCAATACTTAGTAGCAACAATCTTGGGTGGATTGTAGTTCCATCAGGTTCTTCACAGGTGAAGGAGCTGAGACTTAGGAAACGGAGTTGATCACAACAGGAGGGTGAGCCCAGGAGGTGAAGGTCTCTGCTACTCTCAGGTCCTTGAGCACCACATTTCTGGATCTTTCCTCTCTGCACAGTAAAGAACGCAAAATAAAAGTGTGAGCTATCCAACTTTAGAGGGACAGCATAAACAAGAGACAACAAAAAGTAATCATCATTTCTCATTCCTGTGAGGGTAACGATGAAGCTTACTATTCCAGAAGCAGCTCAGGTCAGCCGCACTGACATTAAATCTCACAGCAATAGATTCACTCAGCCCTGCTGAGGACAATACCTGTCCTCTTCTCAGACCTCTTCAGGGAGCGATGTGTGCACAAGAAGGATCACCCGCCCATTTCTCCAGGAATTCCACCCAGGGGCTGTAGCCTGCACGCTCCAGAGAGGTGATCATGAAACTGGACACAGGTTCCCCAATTTAAGGCTTGTTGCCCAGGAGTTGTTATCAGGATCCTAAACACCATCCCACTTTTCTGAAGGATCTGCCCTCTATGCACCCCCATCCCGTATTGGGCTATCGTCCGTCAATCACGAGGCCCCGCCCATCCTCCTACTTGCTGCTCCCCTCGTTTCTGCCATAGCTGCTTCCACAGCTCCACTCTACCCTCCACCCAGGGCTGATCTTCCTGGGTCCCGTTCTTCCCTTCTACAGCTCCTCCACTGCTTTGCGCTTTGCTCACCTTCTGCCGCAGGGAAGTACCACAGAGCTGGCTCTCCAACACAAAGAAATCCCAGAACCCCAGGCTGAGTTGGAACCAAGCACTGCCTCAGCGTGACCTAGGAGGAGTGCAGTAGTAGTCGTCCCGCTCCCTCACCACTGCACCTGTGCACATGGAGCTCACTGGCGTACTGACCAATGGGAGGAGGGGGCGGAGGGTTCTGGGCATGGTGCCCCTGTGCTTGAGCAGAGTTATCCCTGATGGGATTTTAGGGCTGTTAATGGCACACCTGTGAGGGTCCTAAGCATCTGTGATCCTGATCTCTGATCACCCAGATCTAGTGCCATCCTCTTGGAATTCTCAGGACAGTGCAAAGGTGTTTGATTCACTTTCTACCTCTTTCTACGTTCAGCAGTTATTTGATTTAAGCTACTAATAAAGAGCGAAGATTGATTTTTAGTATATTCAGTGCTGTAGGTGTTTACCCAATTTCTGGAAGGGGTTACTTGAATGATGTTTTAAAAACTAAAAATACTGTCCTGTTTTGAAGTTTGTACTGATGTAGACACCTGCAGCTCGAGGTTTTCTTCCTTTTTCTTTTCTTGTCTTTTCTGTCTCTCGTTCCAGGTCTGGAACCCTGCATCGTGCTGAATGGGGCAAAGCCTGTTTGACTCCCTATCTTTGTCTCATTGTCTTTTACTGAGATGGCCTGATGCTCAGGGTTTATCATGACTTTTGCAGAACTTTCCTTGCTTAAAGGTAAAGTTTATTATTATATTTGGTATGGCTAACTAATAGAGTTCTCGTGCAGTAGGCATATATAAGCATCCTTGTTTTCAGAGGAAAACAAAAAAGGTTCCCGTGACAATGTATGGGTCACTCTGTATGGTAACCGAGACAATGCTTGGTATCAGACATCATGATAAAATAGAGTTCGCGTTTCGTTACAAAGCTCATTCTGAATGGGAATGTTATTCAAGGTACTGAAAGTGACACGCAGCCTCCAAGAATTGGTAGTAATAGAAGAACCTGCTTCAGTTTCATCCCACGTGAAGGGGGCCGTGTGTTTCAACCAGCAGCAGGCTGCCTTTTCCCTTTCCTCCTCTTTGCTCCTCCTTGCACCCCAAGGGCCTGGGAAAGTTTGCTGCAATGTCTTCCCTGACTGTCAAACCCGCATTCTACACTCCAACGTGAGTGCAACCAGACAGTGTCGTTTCCTTGACCCACTGATTTATATATAATATGTGTACAACACAAAACCTGGATACATACATACATGATTCATATAACAAAGGATTATTAAAAAGGTATATGGAGAGATACATAAATTCTACATAGGAAATATGCCTACTACACATTAACAAATTCAGCTCAAAGTTAAAATATTCATTTAATAGTATACCATCTGAAAGTCGGACAATATTTGCTACAACATGTGAACAGCAATTTCAGGAAAATTAAAGACTAATGCGAGATAATTTCTTAAATAGTTTAGAGGATTCAGAAATATTGATATGCAGAATAAATTTAGCATATTAAAATTGAAAGAAGAGTTGAGAAATTCAAGAGCAAAATAAAATGGTAGAGAATAATATAATCAACAACATAAATAATAACATTCTTTGTGGAATCAAGGGCACAAAGTAGAAGAAAATCCTAATTGAAAACTCATAATTAAGAATAATTCATGTGTAAGGCTATTAAAGAAATGAATGATAGTCCTTTATTCACTGTAGTAAATCCCACACTGTATCAAATATAAGACTGGATAATTTAAGATGTTTTTGCTCCAGAATGTGTTTTACTTTTGAATCCAGAAAGAGAATTTCTCTCTGGTCGTAAAATAATAATGTAGCACTTGGGCACAAAGATGCAGTCCAGCAGCCCTGCACTGGAGGCCAAGATGGAGAAGACCTCCATGGCCACCATGGCCTTCCCCTTGCTGTTGTGGTACACTGGCAGGAAGGTGAGCCACACACTGCAGAACACCAGCATGCTGAAGGTCAGGAACTTGGCTTCATTGAAGGTGTCAGGCAGGTTCCTGGCCAGGAAAGCCACAGTGAAGCTCACCAGGGCCAGGGAGCCCAAGTATCCCAGGACACAGTAGAAGGCAGTGAGGGAGCCCTTGTTGCACATGATGATGATGTGGCCATGCTCAGAGTGAGCATCTGTGTCAATGTAGGGTGGATTTGTCCCCATCCAGATGCCACAGAGAGTGAGTTGGATCAGGGAGCAGATGGGAATGATGTAGTTTGGTGCCCCTGAAACCAGCCACTGTCTCATCTTCCTGCCTGGACCAGTGACCTTAAAGGCCAGCACCACAGTAACAGTTTTTGCCAAGACAGTGGAAACAGCCACAGTGAACACGACTCCAAATGTGGTCTGCTGCAGGATGCAGGTGGCTGTGTTGGGCCGGCCGATGAAGAGTAAGGAGCAGAGGAAACAGCAGGTGAGGGAGATGAGTAGGGTGTAACTCAGGGCCTGGTTGTTAGCCTTGACAATGGGAGTGTCTCGGTGCTTCACAAATAGGCCAAGCACAGAAGCTGTGAGGACAGTGAGAGTCAGGGCAATGCCAGCCAGAACCTTCCCCAGGGGGTCCTTGTAAGCCAGAAAATTCTCAGCTTTTCGCAGGCACTGGTTTCTCTGCATGTTGGCATACTGAGCATCTGGACACTTCACACAGTGCTCCATATCTAGAAAAATTAAAATCATAACTTGCCTTCGTGTTTTTTCTTGTTTATTTATTCACAAACCCATCACCAGAAACTCACTGCACTTGAACTAAATTGCCAATTTTTAATTTTTTTGTTTTTCTTTCTATTTGTTTTTGAGTTTGCTGGATTGAACTCAGATACCTTTCACTGAGATATAGTGCAAACCCTTTTAAATTTTATTTACAGAAAGGATCTACTTAAGTCTCTATATTGCCAAGGCTGTTGCAACACAATCTTCTTGCCTCAGCCTTTGAGAGCCCTGGATCCTAGGCACGCATAACTGCATTTTACTTTTCTCCTTCTTTCTAGACACAAAGTTAAAGAATTTTTATACAGAATAACTCCTATGTAATACTGATTACATTATTTATTCTTCTTTTAAATCTGGCATATCCATAAAACCATCCTATATTTACAAAAATGGTCTACCTTGATTACTTGCTTCACTTACTTTTATTTGATTTAAATCAAATCTGTATGAATCATAACAAAGCCAACAAAATTTTCTAAGTCACAGTGAAATACATTTGAGGAAGCATATTGAATGAGAAGTAGCTCCACTCTTTAGCCTTCCACCTTTGAATGTATTGTATGCAACCACTTGGTTCATTTTTATTGCCAAGGGTGTTTTTTAGTACTTTGATTTTGATATCTTTAGAAACCACGACAGGATATATCATTATGTATTTAATGTTTTTCTATATTGAAAACATCAAATTGCAGAATTTTATTTGTGATTGCCTTATGACTGAGGTAGGGAAACAGGTTTTCAGTCTTTTGTAATAGTCTTGTATTCCACAGCCATGGAATCAAATATCGTTTTTATTCACTTACAAGAGTTTTGTACTTAAACACTAGTATCACTGGAAAATCCAATCATTTATGCTTCTCCCTTTCTAATATATTTTTATTTTGGGGTGCTTTCTTCATTACTTTGACCACGATGTAGTGTCATGTTCGGCAAAAGTATGATATAGAAACTTCTTCTCTCTTTCTGCTTTTAAAAAATGGAACATAAATTTTAAAGTGGGCTGTAGGATACCATAGAGTTCAATTTTGGTGACAGTTAGAGGCTCCTCCTACTCCTCCTTCAGTAGGCAACACTCTGCTTGCTACTTTGTAAATCACAGTGATGTACAGTTTCATCACATTGTCTCCACTTAGCGGCATTGTTTTCCTTTGTCCAGGATCTAGCACATTTGATTATAATTTTATGAACTGAGTTTGCTTATGGTGTACTGTCCCTGGAGTATACAGCTCAATTGGGAACAGAATATGTGAATCTAGATTAAAAAGGAAAGCAGACTGTGAGCTTTATCTCTCTATGTGCACTTTCAGCCGAGTAACATCAATGAGATCCTTCCTTAAAGCAAATTTATTTCACTCTTCTCTGAAAGAATGAAGTCAGTATTACTATGTTTTTCATGCTTATGAATTTTGCTGATAATATTACTAATCAACGACAATTTGTAGTGAAATATGAGACTATGAACACCTATCTGATAACAGACATAGTACTGTCAAGATATTAGTATTATGGAGATTTTTAATTATTTGTTTGGAGGATTTTGCTAAGTTTCCCTCTGTTCCTATAGATTTCAAGGCTTAGATGGATGAGAAATTACTTCTATTTTCATAGGAAATGCTTTGAATATAACTGTACCAATGGACAATTATCTGTCCCATTATTATACTACCTTTCAATTTTTCTCTTTCTCCTTGATTAATTGTAATAAAGGTTGCAGTTTTTATTACCAGAGTGATATTCAATTCTGTTCATTTTATCTGCATCATAATTTATTTAACCTCTTTATTTTTGAAAGCAAATGTCACTATGCAGTTCAGACTGGCCTGAAGCTCACTTTGTAGCCCAGGCTGGTCTTAAACTAATGGTGATCCTCATACCTTAGCCTCGCTAGGGTTGGTATTACAGGTGGGAACCACCAAACCCAGCTCTGTCCTAACTGTTTAAAACTTCTTTCAGAACCATCTTTCATTTTTCTTGTGTTCAATTTGCTTTATTTTTCTCACTTGATAAATATTTCAAACAGAGAATTCCAGTTTTTTGATTTGAGTAGAGAATAGCACACAAGTGTATAATACCTATTTATCTTAGTGTAGTTTCACCTTCAAATCACAGGATTTTCAGTTTTATACGATCTTCAATTTTTGCTTTGATCCCTCCTATACACTATCTTTGATGAAGAATTACACATACCAGGAGCGTGTATTAACTGTATTAGTGGGGGCATTGTATCTGTATGTGCACATACAGTATTTAAAAAATATACCATATTCACCTATATTGGAGAATGTTAAGTTCAAGATAATTACATGATATAATACATAATCATTCTTGATATATTTCAGAAAGTGTTTGAAATCATACTGAATATTTTCTGAAATCAAAATTTACATCAGCCACTACCAAATAAAAAATTATTCAGTATAAAGGTAATTCCACCATGTAACTATCATTTATTTTCTTTCAGGATAGTTGAATATTACATGAATGGGGAGTGTGCTGCTATGACTATGTCTATTAATCCAAACAAGGATTTATGCCACTTCCTATTATTTGGTTATAATACTAAGCTATCACCTCTGTAAAAGTACACATGATGACTTCCAAAAATGTAAATACTATCAATTGTTAAACCTCGTATTCTGCGTGCATATCATCCTTGCAGTTCTATGGTGCAGACTCTAATTCTTTCCATAGGCTGACTTCTGCACTCACCTATGTATTATAGGAGAATTGGGATTAAATCCCAGGAATTGTACTGTGCTGTGTTATAAGCATGTTGTACACACACACACACACACACACACACACACACACACACACACAAATCCTGCTATATCCAATCAAACTCAGTCTCTCCAATCACATTCTCTGTGTGATAATAGTGTCAGCCTCTGGAGAATAAAGTGTGCCTTACCTTGTCTTGACTGTAGTTTTTCTTTGGTTGCAATAATTGTAAAAATAATTTGTTATTTCTACTGCCTGTTAAACTTCACGAAGGAGATGGAATTTAGAAGACGTAGGATAGGAAAAAGGGCTAAACTTGAGGAAATAATGCTTTTAATGGGACTTGAAAAATAACTCAATGTAAGCATACGTGGTGGTGTATAAATGTGATCTTAGAGAACTAATGGCCTGAGACAATTTTATTGATGCTATGAGGCTTTCTTAGGCAAACTGGTGATATTCTGTTTCAAAATAAAAAGTAAGAGGGTCTAGAGGCATAGATTGATGATGTTTCTTGGTTCAATTTTTAGCAATGCAAATAACAAAACTGATAAACAAGAAGGGAATAAAAAGAAATGGAATTTGAGTGAATTTCACGGGGAAATGAGCCTTTCAATCATGCAATAACATTCAGTATGACACATAATTTGATAAGTAAAGGAACACTTTTGCCATCTGCATCATCTACAAGACCTTCTGCACTTCATGGATGGATGGAATGAACATAACATAGAGTGAGAATGTGTCCCCAGGACACGCTCCTACCTGTGACATTGGTGATCTCGTTCTCTGCACAAGAGGTGCAATGGAAACAGCAGGCAGCCTTTCCCTCCAGAGCGCTTTTTCTGAATCCAGGATTGCAACTTTCACTGCACACTGAGTGGGGCGTCTAAGGAAAAAATATATGGTGGTAACTTCTTAGAACTGAACTTCCTTCTTGATAGCTAGAGGGATAAACTTAATTTGTATGCATACATAAGCAAAACTAAGTAGTTGTATTCCAAATTTATTTCACAGTATGATGTATATACTTACAAAAATATAAATAAACGAGTGCATTTCTTTCTCAGTCATATTAAAGCTTATAATTCTTTTTTTTTCAAATTGAACATCAAGTTATTTAATTTACACATGTCACCATTGCATGAGCAAAATTGGGGGCCCAAAGCCTACAATGGTGTTTTGCTTAATTGTTGTTAGTAAGTGATATGATTAGGAGCAACACACCTCTGTAACTCCTGTGGCCCACTCTATCATATCCTCAGACAAAGTCAGGTTTTGGCTATCGGGAGCACGTGAAGAAAATGTGCCTAGTTTAACCTTCAGTCTAAGGCCTTCTGGAAAATTCCAAAAATTGAGAATGTCATACTCTAAGTCCAGTTTCCTTCTATGATCCAAGTTCACCTGGTCTCCAGCAGAATTGTTAAATTGGATGTACTTCAGAAAGGAATGCAGCTAAAAGAGAGAGAGACACCATCCTATGTGAACAGGGCTGCAGGATAAAGGCAGAAAACAAGGATGGGGGAGTTGCTAAGCATATTCAATCCCATTTATCTCCAGGAACTTTAACGCTGGTATCAAATAAATCAGAAAACATGATGTCTAAGGACTAAAATGTCACCATGTTCCAGAAAATTCAGTTTCAAGAAAAATATATTCTATGCAAAGTTATTTAAATAAGGTATGCATTTGAGTTAGGACAAACCATCAACCATGGAATCAAAGCATTAAATCCAAGCTTTCATTGTCTATCTGACAGTTTCCCTGGCATCTACCTACAAAATGAGTTCAACATCTGCAGAATTTTGCAGAATCAAATGAAGGTGAGCTCTGTATACTGTTGTTTTTAATGCCATTCGGTTTTGTTAGTGACTACAGGTTTTCCTGTTCACTTTTAAGATAAACACGAAACATGCTTTTGTGGGTAAGGTGTTGACCTCACATACGCAGAAGCAAGGAGCTGGCCTCCTGTCACCACCTCCACTTTAGTGTGTCTTTGATTGAGGATCATTTCAACTCAGATCAAGAATCACCTTTTTCACAAAAAGTTTGATATGGATTGTTGAGTATTTTGCAGAAATAGCTCTAATAATCTTTCATGAAACACAAAGAATAACTTGAGAGAGGCTCCTTGATGACACTGCCTGCCCTCCAAGGGAAGACTCATTACCTGCCAGGGGGAAAACATCATTTTTCTATCACTCAGTGGTGGCCTTTGCACTTCTTCGTAAAACATCGCATGAATAGCATGGGCTACGGAGTACACAGCATTGTATATATTAAAGCTCCGATCACTGATGTCTGTGTCAAAACGATTTGGAGGCAACCAAGCCATAGAGGCATTGGGTGTACAGTTCTTCAAGGCACAGTCAGATGCAGAAAATAAGCAATCAAAATTCTTATACCAATACATAACAAGGTAAGTGTCCTCTGGGTATTTGAAAGGACTAGCTTCCTGGACAAAAGTATCGAACCCTGCAATCTCTTCGTGATGGTGTGAAAAAATAAGAATCCCATGGAATGGATCCAGTATGAAATCTCTCCCAGCCAGGTCAGCATGCCATTGGGAGTTTGTCACCCAGACTTTCCATGTCACTAAACTTTGCACGATGTTATAATTTACCTCATTTGAATTATCAGTGTCATAGTAAATGACCACCACATTGGCAGATGATGTATCTGTGGTCAGGATTTCATGTTTCTTTACGGCTAAGAGATAAGACACACCCAAAGTTGACACTATTTTTACAAAGGCTACACAGACTTTGTTCCTGTCCATCTCAGCTCTTACATCTGAGAGAAACTGAAGACCCTTATGGCCTTCTGTGATGAGCAGGCCCACCCAGGTCCAGTGAAAATAAAGCATCAATGACACCATGGCAAGGGCCAAATATGTGTCCTTTGGGGCCACTTGATGGAGTGAAGGATACTGGTCAGTGTCCATCAGGGTAGGATCAAATGAGCCAAAAGTTACCTAGAAGAGAAGGAAATCTGGGTGATACACTGAATTGTTGATGGAAAGCATAATAGTAGTCTCAGGCTACTGAGTGACATCTCCACATTGTATGAAATGTACATTCTTCCCATCCTTCTACACATTTACCTTTGGAGATTTTTAAACAAGGTGAATGAATGTATTCAGATATCTAGAAAACATACTTCTTTCTTCATTCCCTTCCTCTTTGATAAAAAATATGTGCATAAACCACTGTCTTTGTATATGGACTCTGGTACATTACACACTTTGAAAGAGCCTCAGCCTCGCCTATTTTTAACCCTCTATGTTCCAGGTAGGTAAAGCATTTCAGATGTTCTTCTATCAGTTTTGTTCCCCCAACCCTCACCTGTGGAAATCTGTAGAGCTCCAGCAGTGGTCCAATCTGAGCTGAGGTTCCCCACGGCATTTCCATCAGGACTGCTGCACACTTACTTTCTGTCCCACACATGTAATTAGGGACCTCATGTTGCCCTGTGAGCAAAATGAAGGAATTCTCTAGCATCCTCCAATGACTGTAAATGAAATTATGGAACTTGTAACCCAGAGTAATGTTAAGCAAAAGATGAGGATTCCTGTTGATCTCTTCTATGGCAAAAGTGAAGGCCAGGTAGTTCTGGTAGATGTTGGGTATGTGCCTGCACAGAGAGCACAGAGGTCCTCAAGAAAAGACAAAATCAGTCATCATCTTCCCATGCAATCAAATACCATTTATGAATTGAATGTTTTTTTTTCAAAGTTTTATTGACAAAGAGATAGCAATGAGACAGTTTCAAATCAAATCGGAAGGACAGTTTCAACAAATAATACACTGCATATATTCTTCTTAGTGGTTAATTG